GCATGGACGAAATGGAATTTACTGAAGCTGAATCCAACATGAATGATTTAATTTCTGAATACCAACAGTACCAAGATGCAACCAACGATGAAGAACAGGATTTCGATGAAGATCAAGAACAAGAAGTGGATGAAAACTAAGTCAATGGGAAATATCAATATGTACTAGTAAATTAAATTATATTGTTGTTTAACTGTTGTTAATTAAATATTGCAAATTAGATTATTTATTATTATTMCACAGTGGGAACAAAAMACAACGGCAAATGCATCAATATGCATTTTGTGCGACGAAATGCTAGTGCTATCCAGGAAATTTTCGAGCGAATTTCCGAACAGCAAAAAACAACGRWAATTCAATTAGTGTGGCCTAATTGGAGGACTATTAGGCTTACGCCATCTTGCAACTTGTACTCTTGTTTAATASCAAATGCTYGTATTCTCTGATTTTCCCCCATTGGTCTTGCGGGTTTGCAGAATTCMTTTACGAAAGCGCACGTGCAACGAGTTCGCGGCCAGAACTTACTTSCCCTTCAAAAACTCCCTTTCAGAGCCTGATGATGCCGTAGAAATCGAAACATGTCRCATCGATAGCTTGGCGTACAGCTGATCTGAAAGCTCGAATAGTTAGTGGAATTYGAAAAGTTCTCCAAAACCCCCTGASCAMGACACAGAAGAAAAACTTTTAGAATACATAGACTTGCATTCGGGCTTTGTATTGCAACATTTTTCCAGTTGCTGACTTTTTTGGTTTTGTCGAAATCAATTTTTGTAGGCCCACTTGTAATGAAGTTTGCCAAGCCGCTTGAAGACTGGCTTAAGTTTGGAAAGTTCTGCAAAAGTTTCTGAGGACGACACAACAACGAAATAACTTTTTTCATGGTGGATTGATTGATGGTTTGGAGAAAGTCCGAAAAATTTTCTAAAAATTGTCGCTTATGTTACAGAATCCGGATGTAGAAAATTGGCACTATTTTCTCGGGTTTTGTGACTCAAATCGTTCTAGAGAATCATCGAAAAACACGGCGGCGCCTTGTTTGAGTCGAAATCACAATTCAAAAAAATCCCCGCGTAAAACTAGCACTTTTCATGAGTTTCTTCAGGCTTTCTTGATAAATCTGACCACTTTTCTCATAGGATCTTCACCTTCGAAAACCTCCATCTAATGCTCTATCTACTGGTGTAAAAATAAGAGCTCTAACTCAAACCTTTCTCAGAAATGGGGAAAGAGACGACGGCGAACATAAAAAAAAATTTCCTGAATGGCAGTCGAATTTTCAATGAAGACAGCGGACATTTTCATGCAACATTATGCATTTTCCATTGTTTCTTGTTTCAATTAATGGAAGGAATGGAATGAAAGCATACCTTTATTACTTAATTTGTTTATTTCAGCTCGGAATAAAACGTTCGTTCCAATATTTTTGTGACTTTTAGTCGCAGTCATTCCGGAGCAACACCCTGTATATCCAGATCTGACTATTTTGAACGGCTACAGTTATGCCTGTGTCCCATGCAACCGTTTATACGATGGTACGATGATACGAAAGTGTTTCTATTGGTTGGAGATCTGTCAATTCGTACGACGGAGGACGATTTGATTTTTTGATATTTGATTTTTTCCCGGTATTTTGTTGTAACCGTAAACTCTTTGGATTTTATCAATATAGTGTTGGACTTTGACTGTGTTAACTTAATTAATATTGATAAAATTATTGGACTTATAAAGTTTGATTTAGAAGAACTTAACGATGTGTTTTTTATCGTTACTCTATATTTTATGTACACCAAATGGGGCGTTTTAATAATAAAAATGTATTATTGAGCAAATAGATAGTTGGCTTAAGTTATTTTCCTATGTGTAATGTGCAAGTTTATTTAAAACAAATTATCGACGATTTTTTAATTTTAAAGTAACAGAAAAAATAAAATTACTATTGTAAGTCAAGAAATATTAAGCAAAGGAATTGCTGGTACATTCTGTTTCCATTTACTTTTTGTTTAACATGTCACACTAAGCAACACATGAAAATTGCCTTTTTACACTATTTCAACAAAAGTGGAATACCAACAACGTAGTTCGACTTTTTAGTAGGTAGTACTATGTGAATTA